TATGATTAATAATATGATGTTGTTGGATATGTGTTTTAAATGTAGATTGGTAAAATAATAATTGAAATTTTTCTCGGGTGTTTGATTAGTTATTTTAAATGTAGATTGGTGATTAGGGTTTTTGTGGTGTTTTTTATAAACTAATTGACAATTTTTTTTTGTTCGAGTAAAAATATAATTAATTATATGTTGTTGTTGGAAATGAGTTTTAAATGTAGATTGGTAAAATAATAATTGAAATTTTCTCGGGTGTTTGATTAGTCATTTTAAATGTAGATTGGTAAAATAATAATTGAAATTTTCTCGGGTGTTTGATTAGGCATTTTAAATGTAGATTGGTAAAATAATTAAATTTTTAAATGTAGATTGGTAAAATAATTAATTTTTTAAATGTAGATTGGTAAAATAATTGAATTTTTAAATGTAGATTGGTAAAATAATAATTGAAATTTTCTCGTGGTGTTTGATTTTTTTTTATGTTGTTGTAATTTGTAAAATATAATTTTTTTTTATGTAACAGGTTATAAATGTCGTCAAACGGTCCATACTTTGTTAATGTGTACTGGAAAATTCCCCAGAGTGAGTTATGGAATTTTTCGAATTATATGTCTCGTCCGTATTGTTCATTTGTTATTAATGGAATAATATCATATCAACAATTGGTAGATATAATTTACGAAAATGGTGGGTTTCGTGATAGTTGGACAATTTCGGATATTACTTTGATGGCGAAACAACAGGATGGTTCGTTTATTACCGGAAGACTGCATAATGATAATTCTCTTTCGTGGATTTACTACTCTGCTCCTATGTCCTATGTGTTTTTGCATATAGCGTTGGAAGCAAACACACAGGTTACACAGGTTGAGGATCCTACGCCATCATATGGTTACGAAGGAATGTTTGGTGGTGAGGATACATGGACTACGCATGCCGGTAATTTTGGTGAAGGGACGAGTAATTTCGGCGAAGGGACGAGTAATTTCGGCGAAGGAACGAGCTTTACCATGAGAGGACCGGACATTGAGGAAGAAATTGTTGGAGATGAAGATTTCATTCCCGGTGAAGACGATTTCACGGATGAAACCTCGGAAACCGAATCGGACAGATCAATTAATGAGGAGAGCGAACAAGAATTCATTGAAGAACACCCCTTTCCAAATGAAGGCCTCTACGATTATCGCGAGATGGGTGAGTGGGACTCGTCGTGTGTAGACAGGGACGAGTATGCCTTGCCAACCTGGAATGGGCGTGTCGAGACTATCCGATTGGGTACAGTTTTTCATACCAAGGAAGAAGCCCAGATTGGTATTAATGCCTGGAATGTCGAGAAACTTAGGGCGGTCCGGACAAAAGATTCCAACAAGAAGTCGTTTAAAGTTGTGTGCAGATCAGATGAAGTTGTACCATGTATATGGAAGGCCCGGGTGAGTCTTAACAAACGGGATCACGGCAAGTGGGAGGTAACCGAATGGACCGATAGCCACACTTGCATGCAGGTGTTCGAGAGAAATGACCACAAGAATGTGACCGCCACCATGATTTCAAATCTTTTGTTGGCTAAGATTCAGAAGCAGGTGACCTACAGTGTGGAAATGGTCCAGGCCGACGTAAAAAGTGCCTGGGGCGTCGATGTCAGCTACAAAAAGGCGTGGCACGGGAGAAAAAAAGCCATTGATCATCTGTATGGCACGTGGGAAACGAACTTCGCACAACTCCCTCAGTAAGCAAAAATAAATTATAAACGTATTTACGTGTTGTTTTTAACTATATTTATTTATTTATTTATTTATGGTTACCTTTTATAATTTGCAGGTTTTTCGCCGCCCTTCAAAGGGCGAATCCCGGTACAGTCGTTGAGTGGGAATGGCAGGGTGGAGAAATGGCGAAGCAATCTCGAGACAGAGAATTCAGATTTGTCTTCTGGGCATTCGGCCCCGCCATTCAAACCTTCGTTCGTTGCCCGCCGATTATTAGCATCGACGGCACGCACCTGCGAGGTTCGTACAAGGGGAAACTACTTGTTAATTGCAAATTAATATTTTATTTTTTAATTTACAATAGTGTCTCATAAAAAAAAACATATGTCCAACTGGGCAGGTTCGTACAAGGGGAAGCTGCTTGTTGCCATAGCACAGACCGCGAATAAGCGTCTATTGCCAGTCGCGTATGCAATTGTGGACGAAGAAAGCACGGCTAGCTGGTCCTTTTTCCTAACACATCTGCGCCATCATGTCGTCCCCGGCAGATCGATATGTCTTCTTTCCGACAGGGACAACGGCATATTGAGTGCTGTTGAATTACTGGAGACTTGGCACGAACCCCATGCATTTCATCGGATATGCCTTCGACACCTCCGGAGCAACGTGTTTTCAAGGTACCGGACTGAACAAGTCCGGGGTTTGTGTTGGAGGTTGGGTTCACTGTGTTCTTGCCGCAAATTTGAGCAGAGTCGACAGGAACTCCATCAATGTAATCCGGACGCATACGATTACCTTTTCAAAATTCCTCTTGAAAAGTGGACCCTGTACAAAGATGGAGGACGTCGATGGGGAACTCTGACAACGAATATGTCAGAGAGTTACAACAATGTCCTCAAAGGTGTTAGGTTCCTGCCCTGCAGAGCGTTGGTACAGGCCACATTGAACAAGACTCTGGATTTGTTTGAACAAGAACAAAAGAAGTCCAGAGGATGCAGGACTCCCATTCCTACCGACCTCTATGCCGCCTATCGGGAGTTGGAAAAGACGGCGGTGACTCACGAGGTGCATTGTGTGGACGCTGACGGATCCCAGTACATGGTGACAACCGGTCTACGCGCCAATGGAAAGGGCAAAACAAGTATGTATTTTGTAATTGTATTTTTTTTTCCATTCAAATGAGTTTATTAATTTTCTAATTTATATATATAAATTATTGTTGAAAATAGGTTTAAGGTCTTTTATGAGCAGCAGCGTTGTGCATGTAGGAAGTGACAGACACATCGAAAACCATGCTCTCATGCAATTCGAGTGTGTCGTCAGCGGGGTGATCAACCGGTGTCGTTGTATAATCCCTACTTTTAGACGGAGAACTGGGTTAATCAATTTTCTAATTGGAATTTTACTCCAGTTGGAAATCCTGACACGTGGCCGCAGATGGGATGGAATTTGATTCCGCATTGGGAGAGGATCATCTCGAAGCCTGGACCCGGTCGCGCCCAAACTAGACGCTTTAAAATGCAAATGGATCGTCGGGCGCGCCGCAGAAGGGGCCGGGGTCAATGCACTAGATGTGGTGATCCCTTACATTTCGCAGACCATTGCCCGTATTCGCATCCTCCCATCGATCGAACTAGACTCCGCGATGATTGGGGGAACTAAATTTTTTTAGATGAATATTTTGTATTTGGATGATTTTGTAATTTGATGATTTTGTATTTCGACGATTTTGTATTTGGATGATTTTGAATTTGGATGATTTATAATGAAATCGAACTCGAATTAGTGAAATCGAACTCGAATTAGTACAATTAAAGTCAAATTAGTACAATTAAAGTGATTGCCGTCACTTTGTATGTATCGTTTAATTTAGTTCAATTGATGTGTTAATCGTGTTATGAAATGCATATGCGAGTCTTATGAATTTATGTGTTCATTTCGATTCAATATATATTTGCAATTGGATATCAAAGTGATTACCGTCACTTTGAGTTATTGTCGCATTTAACGTGTTAATCGTGTTATCAAAGTGATTGCCGTCACTTTGAATTATTGTCGCATTTAACGTGTGTTAATCGTGTTATCAAAGTGATTGCCGTCACTTTGTATGTATCGTTTAATTTAGTTCAATTGATGTGTTAATCGTGTTATGAAATGCATATGCGAGCCTTATGAATTTATGTGTTCATTTCGATCAATATATATTTGCAATTGGATTTAAAAGTGATTGCCGTCACTTTGAATTATCGTCGCATTTAACGTGTTAATCGTGTTATCAAAGTGATTGCCGTCACTTTGTATGTATCGTTTAATTTAGTTCAATTGATGTGTTAATCGTGTTATGAAATGCATATGCGAGCCTTATGAATTTATGTGTTCATTTCGATTCAATATATATTTTTTTTGTTTCTTTTTATTTATTTGTCCGGTCGAATTATTGATTTTTTACAAAAATTAGTTAATTAGATGGACAAGAAGAAGAAGAACCAACCACGCCTGCACCGACCGCAGGATCGTCTTCTTTGCAACCGGGGCCTCGGAGAGGGTCCCGAAACCGCAAGGCTAGGAAACCATTTACTCCTAGTTAGTTTGTTTTTGTATTCTGTGATTTTGTGGACATATTTTTTTTTTTTTTTTTTGTATTGGATTTTCAGATATTTATTTTTGATGGTTTTGGGTACATATTTTGTGGTTCACTTTTTTTTTGTCGGTACTTATGGTTGTCTTTGTCTATATAGTGTTTCATATATGTATGCATGTTAGATTTTATCATTTGACGAATGAATTGATATTAAAATGATATTATTTCTTGTTCAAAATGTTAAATTGAAATTTATAAAAAATCTTAATATTGAAGGATAAGAATAAAAAATTGNNTTNNNNT